AAGTACTGTCGTGGACATGGGAATCCAGTCGATTGACCGGGGCCGGCGCCCTCAGCGCGTAAAGAACAGCGCTTGATCCGATGCGACCAGCGCGCTGCAGCATGTGTACGTGTGTACTGCTTACCCACGGCTGCATGGCCAGCGCCCTGGGGCCGCTAGACGTGCGACCGGATCTCCATGTCCACGACAGTATTTGCCTGTGTGTGCCTGTGCACCTGTTAGGTATCTCATGTCGGCAGTACATGTACGAAACAGAGTCATGTTCATGCACGCATCTACACTTGACCATGTGAGAATGTGGTCGCTCGCCTCATATACGTGTACATGTGCGCGTAATATCGTTTGTAGTGCTGCACTGGGTAGTAGTGGGTGCACTGATAAAATGGCGGAAATCTAAAGGGCGTACTACGCTATCTATGGCCAAGACAGACTCTACTGCAATGAATAGTGTGAATGCATGGATTGGGGATTGCAGGCCTGAGCCTAGATGATAGCCTAGTATGTATAGGCGGTTCGGATTAGGCAGATTTGTATTGGACAAACCTGGACAAGAATGGATCTGATACTATTGGGGTGATGAACTGGCTCTGCAGCGTGTGCTTATTCCACGTACTCCTGGAGATGAAACATACCAGGCTCTGCAGTGTGTTTCTGAGCAAAGTCATGCGGATAACTACTGAAGAACACGGGTCTCCTATGTAAACATGGCCCCTTTGCCAATACTAAACGTTATCTGAATAACGATAGTCATGTCCACAAGTAAATAAGCATGGTGCTCCCCTGTCGAACAACCCGTGCGTGTGGGGATCAGGCAAAGTTGTAACAAATACGGCTGTGGAGTGAGCTGCAGTTTCTTCACAGACCTGAGAAAGAACTGCTCAAAGTAGGCAAGCTGAGGAATCATCTGACCTGTTCCAGTGTGCATCCTAGCTGCAGCTCCACTCTGACCACTCTCCATTACATCACTTTTTGAGGGATTTGGTCTTTTGCACAGTGGATGGCTTAGCTGTCCCAGACTCACACGTATACGTTTAGCTCTTTCTTGTCTTCTACTTCTAGCATATCTGAACTCGGATGGTGGGCCAATTTAATTATGGATAAAAAGGAGAAGGACCAAAGCTCGCTGACTGTATATGATCTGGTTACGTTGGTGGACAGTTAGTCATAACTCATACCATTTTTGTCCTTCTTTCTAGCATATCTCATCAGGTTTGTTGATTACTAGATCTACTGCTAATAATTGTCCTGCTACATAAGCAGTGATTACCAAAGCAGCAACCGCTGTGCTTTGCATTCGTACTTGATGATTTCTGAGCACGTTTTACCTGCAGAACCGCCAGTTCGACAAGTGGTACACGCTGGACTGATGCAGAAGTGAAGCGCTTGCATGCCGCTATTGCTATGTTCAACAATGACCTGTCCAAAATCAGCAATGCAGTTAAGACTCGTTCCATGTAAGTCGAATTGGAGCTTTTTTCGAATATTGATTGCTGTTGTACTACCGTTGACATTGTCTATCCCTGTTTGCTATATAAAATAGTAAATAACCAGCTATGCTGCAGTGAAGCAGCAAACCTACATGTAATGTCGAAATCTGCTGACGGCAGTTGGATATACGCTTACCTGTGCGTATGCACACACGCATGTGCATGTAGCCACCGCATGGGAGATTTTTGTCCTGCAATCGATGCTGAAAAAAATTCCAACGAATCACTCAGAGTTTGTTGCTTAGGTGACATGGTCAAATGCTCTTTTTTGTTTACTGCATCTTCACCCAGGTTTGAATGCGATACCAACCCTGAATGGTTTGTCAGAATATTTTGGCGTCGATGGTTTATGCTTCACTTTTTTCTGCTGCTTGAGTATGTTATTGTGAAACACCGAAGTCTAACTGCTCGCCTTTTTTTGTTTGGGTGAACTACCTTGAGCATCCTTCAGACAATGGGTGTGTTCCCATTGGAGATTTCATCCTTTGCTGTCCTGGTACTGTCACTGATTGTGTCTTGGTGTTGCTGTCTGCGGTTGTTTTTCTGTAGTGCACAGGTGAAGGCCAAAATGAAGAAGGACTCCGAAAAGAACTCGCAGACGAAGTCCACGAGCTCCACTTCCGACACCGTATCCACGCATGCCCAACCATCCAGTACCAATGCTACAACTACAACAGCATCTGCCCGCTCAAGCACTGCGTCATCGCCAGCAACATCTGTTGCAGCGAGTGCTGTCTCAGCAGCATCTGCAGTGCCCAGCTCACTGGTGGCGTCTTCAATAGCACCACTGAGCGCGTCCAAGTCTTCCGTCCCATCTGTCACGTCACTGTCCACGACCGGTCTATCTTCAGTAGCCTCTAGTGGAGCATCATTGTCGCCATTGGCAGTTGGGTTGTCAACTGTAACAGCGACAACAGCTGTTGCATCTCCACTGCCTACAGTTTCTAATGGTGCTACAGTGTTATCAGTACAGACTACTGCACCTCCTCCTGCTGCTGCTACACCTGTATTTCCGCCCGTTTGTAATAATGTGACCAATGCTCTTTCTAGCAGTGTAGTCATGTCTTCAGCGCAGGCAGCCATGTCCCCCGCTCCTCCTGCCGCCGCAGCTGCACACATATTTCCACCCGGCAGTGATAGTGTGACTGATGCATTGATGGCCGCGGGTGCCGTTGTTCCTCCGACGGTTGACACAGCATCTCTTCTAGTAGGCAGCAATCTGTCAGCTGCAGTCGCTCCTCACTCGTCTGCCCTTTTGCCGGATGCTTTATCCACTGCTGGCCTCGACACCTCGCTCTCCTACGTAGCCTCTGGCCTCGTCTCGGGCGTCTCTACCACAGTTTTAGACACGTCGCTGTCTTCTATTTCACCCAATCTGGTTTCTGCCATGATGGCATCGCCAACACCGATGGATACCAGTGTGTCCCTGTTGGATGCTGTTGCGTCCCTACCGTCCGTGGACTCTGTTCCGACAAGTAATGTTCCTCTCAGTGATGCCCTCAATGCTGTCATATCCAGCACGCTGTCGTCACTGGGATCGTGTGATGCATCAGTCCAATCCCCGTTCACTGCTTCCGGTGAGCTCATACCCGCAAAGGTGACAACATCAGATGTGGAAGCAGCAGCCATAGAAGTCTCTAACATGCTGGATGCAGTCTCGCAGCCACTCGTAGTGCCTACAAGTGTGCCATTGCCGCTGATTCCGGACTTGCCTGTGCCGGACGTAGGCACAACAGAAGTTACAATTTCTAGCGGTACCAACTCGCTTGTGACAAGTGAGGCTTTGATTGCAGCTGGTCCTCAAGTGCCTATAGCAACAGGGTCCTCAGTAGCTGCTGTAACCATCGAGTCCCAGGTGCAACTTTCAGACACCGTACTGACCACAGATGCTGATCTGATGCTGGCAGTGGAGCCCACTGCAAAACGTCCTCTGGCAGATCCTTGTAAGTACGCAGTTATTTTTATTTGGCGTTTGCGCTTATCTTCATGTTGAAATGAAATGCTGTCGGGCGAATAACGATATTGGATTTGCTCACAGGGGGAATTGGGGATGGATACATAAGATTTACAGTCAACCTCACGAATAACAACAGTCGGCCAGCACGAACAAGCATAGAATTGCAGCGGCTCAATGCAGGATTCCAACTCTAGCTTTATTTTCCTACTTCACAGCCAATGAATCCAAAATCGAAATTATGTGAATTTGACACTGATGTGCCACAGAGCCTACACTTGTACCGCCAAGGGAATAGATGATATGCCAAATAACGTTCAACTAGACTTGAGAGGGCATTTCAGAGTAGTTGCATACAACGTTCAAAGTTGTACGGTTACCTGTGACTTCAAGAGTCCATAACCCCCAAGAGTGTGCAACTCCTGGTCTCTCGCACTGTAGATTCTCGCTCGGCGGAATTCCTACATTACGTCATGTCTAGGTGCTTAGTGATGAGTCATCATCAAATATCTGCTGTCAAACCGGGCATTTTGGGCTTGGGTAACCTTACTAAACGTTTTGAAACCCACGTTTTTTTCATAATACGTCGACACTGCACTGGACAAACTTGTGGCGGTCGATGACCGGTCATGTCAGAGGACGAACCAAGAGTTCATGGGGTTATGAACTCTTGGACGAACTTCAACATGATTTGAAAATAAAAAAGCAGATGTTTCTCTTGGTCCCCCTTCTTTCTCTTGAGAAACGTTCCTCGAATAGACTGTGATTGTGCCCTTCTTGTCTTCATTCGGCAGTGCCATGAGCCTCGATTTGAATACGTCTGAGGCTTTCCTCGCTGAGCTGATCAGCATATCTCTCGCGATCGATAATCTAGATTCCGAAACGTCCGACTGTCGTCCTGCAGACGACACCTTTCCTGCTTTGGGATCGACCACAGCTGTGTGTCCTGGTTCTGAACCAAGCCTACCAGCTCATATGGAAACGCCACCCAGTGCTGCAGTATCCCAATCCTCAACTACATCCGTCACCGCCGTAGCAACACCGCGCCGAAGACCCAGGCGATTGTTACTCAATGCCCAGCAGAAGAGTGAGATTTGTCAGCTCCTGGCCAAAATCGATCCATCCAAGGCAGCTGAAGCAATATTTGCAGATGCTGGTGAAGAACTGCATATGTCCAGTTATCCGGAAAGGTCGTCTGCGCTGTCAGATCACCAGCCAGTTTGGGAGTCTGTAGTGACAGACTTGATTGCGGCATACGGCCACTTTTACACTGAATGTTCAGCTAAAGCAGACAGGTATTCCACATTTCAGATGCGCTGGATCATGAATGTGTTCACGATGTTTGACCATCCACGTGTTGCTAGCTGTTCTGTTGAAGAGAGCACTGTTAGCAGCATCCTGCATACCTTGGCTGCTGCTGTTTGGCGTTACTGCGCTGGTGTCGTACGGAAGGCACTATTGGATGCGGCCGTGAGTACTGCAGGTGAAGCTGTACCAGCCAAGCTAGAAGCCAAGCACTACTGGAGGTTTTTTGGTTGGGCTGTTTGTTCGTCAGTGAAGGTGCTGAAACGCTCACCGCAATCTCCAGCAAATGAGGAAGAGCTTGCACTTCTGAAGTGTTTACAGCTGCAAGATAAGGAGGAGAAGTCAGAGATTACTATCCCAATTTCATTGATTTTGCGCGATGAAGGGTGGATGTCATTTCTTCGACCAGAGCACTTGCCGTGTGCGCAGACCATACTTGACAGAATCTGCTCAACTGTGAATCATGAGGCTTTCGAAATGTACGGCAAGGACTTTGTACGTGTGGCATCACAAGTGATCCAATGCGACAAGACCCTTCACAAGCCACTTTCAGCATCTGTGCAAGAAGCTTTCCCTAACCGGTTTACTGAAGATGTTGTCGAGCGTGTTGCCAGTCGCCTAACCACGAAAGTTCTTAACGCCATGCTTTGTGAAGTTATAGAGACAGCTGAGCAATTGCAACTTTTGAGTGCGGGATCAACAACAACGTCTGCCCTGAATTTACGTGACAGACTTCACCCGGGTAATGCATAAGGATGCACTTCGCTTACCCGTTCTCTCTCTCTCTCTCTCTCTCTCTCTCTCTCTCTCTCTCTCTCTCTCTCTCTCTCTCTCTCTCTCTCTGCCATATGGCCAGGTGTGTTTTTACCACCATATTAATCAACCATGAGTACAGCTGCGGTGGTGTCTTCAACTTCATTCTCCCGAGTCAAGCTCTGTATGAAGACATCCAAGTAGAGAATTCATGGTCTCTCTCTGTTATATGGCCAGGTGTGTGTTTACCACCATATGAATCAACCATAAGTACAGCTGCAGTGGTGTCTTCAACTTCATTCTCCCGAGTCAAGCTCCGTGTGAAGACATCCAAGAAGAAGACTGCCTGATGAGTCCAGCGGGGACGAAACGTACGTCGCAATCGAGCTATGTCGTGGCTTGGCATCTTCTATGTGCCATGCGCTACTTGATGTACCAGCCTGCTATGTCGGATTCCGCCAACCATGCATCGACTAGGCGCCAGGTGCGAACTGATGGTGGTGGTGGTGGTGGTGAGAAGGAGAGCTCTGTGCCAGAACTTGTGGGCAGGCGCGTGTTTACCGCCATATTGCCAGGTGTGTCTTTACCACCATATTTATCAACCATAAGTACAACTGCAGTGGTGGCTTCTACTTCATTCTCTGTTCTAGATGTACAGAGTTTTGCAACTCCACTTTAGCCTTCCGATATTTGGGCACATACATGTACCATAAATGGAAAACATATGGGATGGATATTCTGTTGTTTGTGCTGGTCGTCCATTGAAGGCTTTATAGACTGGGCGTGGTATGTGGGTGTGTGTTTGGGGAAGAGACCATCTTCAATGTTATTATTTGACAAACAGAGCGCGCGCACGCGTGCAATTTATATCCAGTCATTGTAACAAATCCATAATTATATTTGAATTACATATTCGAAGTTGATTGACAACTATCAAGGATTGGACATGTGTCTAAAGATGTAACAAACAGAACAGCATCTTAGCTGATGTGCAACGAATGCCGGTACACCTGGTATGCAGCAAATTGTGGGGATAACAGGTTATTGGCGTGAAACAAGAAATGACAAGCAGTAAAACAATTATAGAGCTAGCTTGCATGCAGTGGCCAATACCAAGAGTCCATATGGACTCTTGCCAATACGTTTACTAGTATCTGTATTTGGGCAAGTTTGTCATTGAGAAATGTTGGTCCCAGACGAATAGAATTGCACAATGAACAATACGCAGCACCAGCAGGTTTGCTGTGTGAAAGTTAAAATAAGTAGGCACCCAGTGGTACATGTTTTAAAATGCATATGATTTTTTTTGATAAGGCACCCATTTTGATAATCCAGGGGATGGCCCACGCCTGGTACTGCCACTGCATTATAAATCATACGTAATGACTGATAAAATGCTACACCTGTGAAGTAAAAGAAAAAGGCCCAACCCTGCCCTGCCAGCTATTTGGGCTTACGGGGGTCGCCATGGCAAATAATAATATTAAAGAACTAAAGACTACAAAATTAATGACGGGAAGTGCCAGCTTCGGCAGCAACTAGGGAGGCAGAAGAAGAGACAGGTGCATGATGCATATGAATCCAGCCAGCATATACAAAAGCAAATGGTAGGAATGAAAGATAATTATTCTCAGGTCGAACAAGAAATTCAACAGTAATACCACAAGAAATTATAATTCGGCGCGAAAATAAGAGAAGGAAATGATACACCTGAAAGCGCTAAAAGACAAAATGAAGAAAACAAGAAATTATAAGCCACGCAGCGCTAAATTGCACCTAAATAATAAATTGAAATGAAAGCGAAAAAGCCAAGAAACCAAAAAATTAGGGGTGAAACAATTATACCGAATATTCGAATACTCGTTTGGATTTTTCGAATATAATCGTACTCGGAATAAATCAGAGTACTCGCTTATACATGGTACATACATTTACCACAGAAGTCTGCAGTTACAGAGCAGCAGTCAGCAGATATTGATGTGCAGACTGTGTGGTGAACATTAATTAATTTTGTTCACGAGTAGAGAGAGCCGAAATGACCCACCAACCAATACACCCGAGAAAAGAACTGCCAATCGGTTCAATCAGGGTTGTAGTATGTGATTTTCGAGGCGGTTGGTGTGCGATTTTTGGGATATCAAGAATACTCGAATACTCGAATATTCGATCGGAGAAAATCAGAGTACTCGAACTCGGGATCTCAGTGCCAACTTTCACCCCTACAAAAAATCATAACAAACTAAACAAACTTATAAGAAACGAAATAATACGTGTACAGATTAACAATGAACAATATGCAACACCAGGAGGTTTGCTGTGTGAAAGTTAAAATAAGTAGACACCCAGTGGTACATGCTAATACCAAACTAAACAAACTTATAAGAAACGAAACAATACCTGACATCGGCAGTCGGCACAATCGGCAGTCGGCACATAGCTATTTCCGTCGCAGGAGCGGTACAGGGGCAAAGTGTACAGGTGCATAATGATATCCAGTATTAGCAGGGTGACACGGTACTGCATGACGTTGGATGGCAAGGGATGCCCGAGCAGATGCAAAATTGGTAGCGGTTAGCCGACCACCAGACGCATGCTTGAGTTGAGAGAAAACGGTCTCGATTGCACTCCCAGTCACACGCACGGGGACGACATAATAGCCTGGATTCCGTGATGTGAAGTCCTTGCAGAACTCCACAAAACCATAGCGAACAACACGTAGTAGGTCCCAGGTCTGCCAAGCCAAGAAGTCCTTCTGCTTTGGATCCGTTGGTTCAAAGCCCGGCTTGGCTTTGAGCAAGCCCTCGAGCCACTGGAGCCAAAATTCGAATCCTGTGACTATTGATGTTATGGGTGCTGACTCTGCACTCCTCACCGGCTCATGCGAAAACACACCTTTCTCAAAGAACCGATTGCAAGCCACGAGATACTCTCTAGTTGCCTTGACATTGACATTGTCGAGGTGGTCAGCGAGGAGGTACTCTGCCAGCTCAGTCAAGAGCTCTTCCTGTTGCATTACTTTGGCTGGCAGCACATTCAGTTTCGTCCATGCATCGCGGAGGACGTGGTTCTTCTTCAGCTTGGGCACTTCCCGTGGGACACCTTTGGAAAAGCGAGCCACTTCACGCTCATACAAATCAAGAATAGTCTGCCATCCAAAGCAGACACCACTGGCAGTTCCAAAGGACTTTGTTCCACCTTGCCGAGACGAATGCAGCGCGTTCACCATGTTCTTCAGCTGGTGAACAGGACAATGAAGAATAACTTCTGATGGCGCCAGAATGGATGCGAGGTGGACGAGTTAATCATATGTCGGTGAGGACTGGACTTCATGCCGAATGCACCACGGACACCCATCATTGATTTGATCACTGATAAGTTGGTGGCAGCACCATCGCAGATCACAGCACATGTCTTGAAGCCAACATCGTGAAGCAGGCGTAAGGTATCAAGTAGACATGCCAGTATGAATTTGGCGTCCAGAGAAGAATGTGTGGTGAAGTAGGGGCCAAACACGTCAAAGCTGGAGGACATGTCGCACCACATGAACTGCAGGACATACTCAGTACGCTCGGTTTTCTTCCCTTTCAGCTCTGCAAACACGTTGCACAAACTGACCATATCCTCGTCATTCATGGCTAGGCCGTATACTTCATGGCTTCGCGAATTCCAAAGGATCTTGCTGATGACTTTGACCTCATCAAAGATCATGAGGCCTTCACCAATTGGAGGGAAGTTTTTCTGATGTGCTGCCTTCTTCACGCCATCATACACCTCCTTCTGGAACTTGATGCTGGATTCACAGCGGCCAGGCTTATCTAAGTACGCACTGGTATAATGCTGCAGGGACCGTATACTCGGCAGCTTGAAGATGCCGAATGACTGCAGCGCCTCGTAAGCAGATCGGCTCCTTGAGAAAACAGCCAAAGCAACTCGATAGGTGAGCAGACTCCACCTATTCCCATGGGAACCCTGCTCGTTGCTGGACTGGTCTCGCTGCCATTCAGCCTTGTCAGCAGCCCATGCAGCTTGCAAAACATCCCGTGCCTCCTCATCACCAGAATCGGTGACGGACCGAAGGTCATTGGGACAGTCGTGCTCGATGATAGAGCATGCAGTGGATAGCTCGGGCGACTGCTTCTCTGACAGCATGACCGAGAGATGCTCATATTTAGACAGGTCTCGATTTAGTTGCCGCCGCACTAGCCGACTTGAACTGATCCTTTCAGTTCTGCTGGAGGGTGACAGATACTGCAGGGGAGTATTTGACGACACAGCCGCTCTTCTTTTCTTCTGCTCCTCGGTGCGGCCAGCTGCTCTATCCCTGAGGACAGACAACTCTTTCTCGAATCTTTTGCAGTTCGTGCACTGTACACTGTCTAGTAGCTGACATTCACGCGATGCACTCTTGCCAGGCTGAAACACTATTTTGCACTCCCATGAGTCCGCTCGTACAAATGGCAAACTCCACAATCTGAGTTTAGCTGGCTGAAAGCGGATCACACTCCCATAGCGAGTTTCATATTCTTGAATACCTGGGCAATACTTCCAAGTTCGGTTTATCATACGCTCCAAATATGGCTTCAATTCAATAAGTTTCTGTCCACACTGTCCATTCTCCGTGAACCCTCCATATAGGACCTCGAAGACGAAATGACCCCCGGGTTTGACAATAAGTCTGGATAATGACACTGGTAAACTATTGGCTGAACACGCAACGGTCCTGGTGGACAATACCTCCACTGTAGAGTTATCTAGTTCACTAATCTTCAGCTCAGCCAGGAAAGAAGAACCCAGGCTTGCTACAAATTTCACCACGTCCTCTTCACGAATAATCCCCGGGGGCAATTCGCTTAAAGGGGAAGTATACCCTAAAATCAAATTTTCACCAGTTGTAGTCTTCGGGGTGCTGAGTCGAATGGTCTTGGTCCGAGGAAGCTGCGACGCTCCCTTCCTACTTGAATCCCAATCGAACTCGCGCACTTCCACCGAAACTGGGTGACTGCGCCCTACTACTACTAGATGGGGATTTGTATGCAAAATGTCAATAAAAGCGCCATTTCGTTCTTATAAAAGCACGGATGACCGCGATTGGCCCATATGTTGTAGTCTTTTGGACGCTGAGTCGACTGGTTTTGGTCCGAAAAGGCTGCGATGCAGCGTTCCTCCTTTATTCCCAATCGAACATGGTTGAAGAAGTGGTCACGTGGTCCTGGTTGCCCAAATCACCTGGTCACCGCGCCAGCAGGCGACAACTTTCACACCAAGGTTCAACTCGAGTGACAGGACTGCACCCAAAAAAGGTCAAACAGGCTAGTAAGTTGTACCCTGCAGGCACGGTGACCAGGTGACTGGTGTACGCAGGAGCACGTGACCGCTTGTTCAACCATGTTCGATTGGGAATAAAGGAGGAACGCTGCATCGCAGCCTTTTCGGACCAAAACCAGTCAACTCAGCGTCCAAAAGACTACAACATATGGGCCAATGGCGGTCATCCGTGCTTTTATAACAACGAAATGGCGCTTTTAGTGACATTTTGCATACAAATCCCCATCTAGTAGGGCGCAGTCACCCAGTTTCGGTGGAAGTGCGCGAGTTCGATTGGGATTCAAGTAGGAAGGGAGCGTCGCAGCTTCCTCGGACCAAGACCATTCGACTCAGCACCCCGAAGACTACAACTGGTGAAAATTTGATTTTAGGGTATACTTCCCCTTTAAGATATATTTAGGTGAAGGTTCCACAGCGTCCTCACGTCGATCCATTCCGCCTCGAGTCCATTTACGGAGTTGAAAACCAAAAGAAGCATGGACTACTTGTTTCTTCTTCGCAAAATGTTTCCCGTTGAAAAGCCAACCAGGATCCCGGATATCCCTGCACAAAACCTTTGTACCAAGAGTCCCGGGGGTTATGCACTCTTGTTTGAACTGCTGGCGCAAACGGACCAAGGGGAAATCGTAAAGAGCTACGCGCTGCGATTCGCATTCGGATTGGCTTCCACCATAGTTTCCAGAAATCGAAAAGGAACAAAAACCAACACGGATGCACGGATTGCGCATGACGTAATGTAGGAATTTCGCCGAGCGCTGGGTCTATGCCCGTTGCACACTCTTGGGGGTTATGGACTCTTTATGACTTGCATCCCTGCAGAGCTCAGGGCCTACCATGTACACATTGTAGTATAAGTTGTATGCAACTTGTGTGCGATGCCCTCTCCAGTCTAGTTGCACGTTATTTTGGCATATCATCTATTGTTGGGAATCGTGCAACCCTGTACGGTCCCTGGCTAGTGGCGGGGAACTGGATCTCAACAAAGCGTAGAAAAGATCTTCTTTGGCTTAGCTTGAATCGAAAATTATTTCGACCATGGACCTGATGTTCTTCGCTGTCGATGTTGAAATGGATGACTTGTTTCTGCTGTCAGTGGACGACATTATTATCAGAGTGATAGGAACAATCTTGTTTCGTTGTGTGATGTTGTTGGCTGTACAGCAATCGTACCAACAACAATGGACATGAGCTGACTTGGTGATGACTGTAACATTAGGTGCTCCGTCTCAATCAGTTTCCCTTGGATGGCGTCTAGCCATTTCCTTCGAAATCATCCGAGCATGACCATTCAAGACTAATGTGGCTGTTCACTTGGTGAATATCTCAGCACACACATTGTCCATAGTTTCTGCATACCTGTACAAAACAGTTGCAACGAAAAAAGTTTTTCACGTGATGTCATTTGAATAATGAAACCCGCATCTCCTTTATTACCCAGCTTTTTTTGTTGTTATTATTATTTGGTATTTTTGTACATCTTCTTAGGATTTATCCATTAACTACGCGAAGGACTAAAGGGACCCTCACTTAATTTTTTGCCGACTACCCGCCAAAAAACACATTTCGACACGCGTGTGTGCTGGACGTCTGCGCGTGCACGACAAGACGTGTGAGCTGGCTGACAAGTGAGAGCCAGGGAGTCGTCAAGTACCGGCTTTTGACGACTCCCGGCCTAGCTGGTGAGAGAATGCATTGTGCTGCTGGCGGGAAAGGGAATTAACTACATTGTAGACCCTTGATACCATGGCAACAAAGAATTGGATTGAGTCTTTTTCTTCAGATTCTTGGCGTTTTGTTCATTTTTTGTATTGAGATTTTGTGTCATAATAAGTATCTAATATTGACTGAGTACGAGGTCAGTATAGGAAATAAAAGCCGAGGTCTTTTACGAGGCTTTTATTTCCTATACTGACCAAGTACGAAGTCAATATTAGATTTATCACGACAAACAGTCGGTATTTCAAATTCCAGAACGATCACCTCATGAATCCAGGTTTTATGATTGCACAACCGTTTCACCATCAGTGCATCACCTACTCATACTGTGACCGTGCTGCACTAGTGCCACTACAATGTAGGCACCGTTCAACTGCGCCACCCATAAGGGCGCGTTCAGACTACCGTGAACCCCGTCAAACCGTGAATGCCGATAAACCGTGAAGGACATTCACACTACAGATAAAGTAACGTTACCGGTACGTACGTTTTCCACCTCTCACCGCGGCGCTGGGAAGGGATTTTCCCTTTTTCACAGCGCGCATGCAGCCAGAGCACTTTTTTACTGCCGGGAAAACTTTACTGCCGCAGCAGCCGCGGCAGTAAAACCTTTCCGCCGGTAACGTCACGTGATCAAATCACCTTGGCAACTTTTCCATTCCGTCACTTTTTATCGGTAGTCTGAACGCGCCCTAAGCAGTCAATATAGCGCTAAGGAGTGAAATATGCAGGAATATTTCTATTTGACTGCTTAGGTATAGCGGAAATCAATGGGAGTCAATACTAAGAGAGTGATAAAACCCTGTATCTATCAACAGAATGCCCGGAATCTGGTTCTGCCACGATCTATCATGCACTGGTTGCAAATACTGTGTACGGGTTTGTCACGTGATGTGAAGTGAAGCCCTGCCGTCGCCAACCCCATAGCTGGAGTTGCACACTCTTGGGCCTTGGGGGTTATGTACTCTTGGTAGTAGACATCAAGCCATGTCAAGACACTATCATAAAGCAAGATAGTAGAAGCGGGCGGGCAACACATGAAACAGCTGTCATGCCCTGCATGCACCACTAGTGGACGTATAAAACAAAGCGACAATGTGTAACAAGCCAACAACAGCATAGCAGGAATAGGTACGGATAGACAGGAACATGAGTTGTTATAGGTTGGGTTGTACATGGGCGTACTGAGCAAGTTAAAAACTTTCTTTTCATGGTTGAATTTGGCAACACGCATTAAATGTCAATGAGAATGATGAGTTATGGTGGTTTTTGCAGAACTTAGTCTGTCATGTTATACGCATAACTAGGTAGCTGTAGCAATAGCAACCGCCGGTGCCGGTAATGAGAACCGGTTCAAACATCACCGTACGAAGACATCGGTGTTGCGGTAACTGGAGTTATCCCTGTCAGCGAACACACACACGCACAGTGAGAGAGCGAGAGCGAGAGAGAGAGAGAGAGAGAGAGAGAGAGAGAGAGAGAGAGAGAGAGAGAGAAAGTAAACTGAGCAGGTTAGATGCAAGTACATGTACTTCAAAGTAGCTCAACTCACCACGCTGGTAATTCCCTAAAACATCATTCAGATGCACCATTATGACGGTGGACAGTTGAATCACAACATGCAGTCAATATTCAGTGAGCTATGTTACGCAGGCACAAACACAGCATTGGGCCTACCTCAAGCTGTGCGTATGTGCTTTGTACTCCATGATTGTGTTGGTGGGTAGCGTGCATGCCCGACTCATTGTGTCCCTGCGCAGTAGACAGAGAGATGGCGAAGACCACATATGCACGCACGCACACACGAACACACACACACATACGCACACACATACACACACACACACACATTATTACAGGCAATTCCTGATTCGTATAGAGTTCTTGACACCAGTGAAAAGGCAGAGCAAGCCACAGCCAGCCTGGACACATAATAATGACCTAAGATGGACACATGTCCTTGTTACACTCAGAACATCAAAAGGCAAGAAGAAATGATTGTACAGCAGGGCGTAGCCACGACTTTCCCCACACAAAAGTACATGCACTTTAAAATATGTTGGTCCTTTCATGCATATTATTCGATCCGTGAATTGGGGGGAAGCAAAATTCGCCCCTAATTCGACGCTGAAGATCAATCAGTGAATGGCAAATCTCCAACCAGGGAGTAGTAATGATTATGGTATTTTACTACACCCTGGCCTGCTAATGATGGTAAGTCCTGGATGCTGCTTTCTCCAGAATTATCACACTCTCCATCAAACTTTTAAAGTGGGATTTCTCGAGCCATTTTTCCCCTTTGTCATGTTTGATAGTGCAGTAAGGCATCCTTGATCAAACCTACACTATTCCCCACAAAAACTCAAACTGCACTTCAACGTTACTTTCACTCTTCTACTGCTGTATCCACACTTGCAATGCATGAAAGAAACTTTGCCTTTCCACAATGAGACCAATTAACAGCGAGAACAACATTATACAAAACATAGCGAGAACAAACTGCTATGTCTGACGTGTGCTTTCCGGCCATAGACCGCGTTGCTACTTCCTTGCTTCTACCAATGGCGTGTTTGTATGATTCTGTGAGTCTAACGAAACCCCATGATGATGTGGAGTGCGATGCAAATCATGTGCTGAGCCTGCTGAGGCCTGATGTGACACTGCACAACGGCAGGTACGAAGCGCAGTTCCCTTGACTAGAAATTTCATTGCATAATGGCCAATCATGAGACAAAAATGAATAGTCCACTGCATGTGGATTGGTTTCAGATACAGTCTGTATCGGCTATAGAGTGACCGGATATAAGAATATATCGGCTACAGTGATATTGGTACGAAATATCAAAAGCAAAACGTATTTTATCCAGTACAAATATCACTATAACCAATATTATCGGATGTAATGATATATCGGATATTATGATGGCAACAAAGAATCAAAACATGCATAACACACTACACTATTATCGGCTATAGTGATAACTTTAAAATACATGTTGCAATAATATCAAAGGCCCTATTTTTTTACTTTCTTCACGTTGCTTATTTTGATAGTGACACATGTACATGTACATAACAGAATTTTTTATGGAAATGCGGGCACTGTCAACTATGCAGCATGCTCATTTTGTCAAAACGCCATGCTGGAAGTATTTCCTTGCCTTTCACGTGTCGATCGAAAAATATCGATCGTATCGCATATAGTGATGCATCGGTCATACTGATAAAATCACGAAAATCAAAAGGGTACGCTATAGCCGATACAGACTGTACATTGTACTTGCAGGTCTGAACCAGGGAGTAGTGTAGATCTACCTACTACAGTACTCCCTGGTCTAAAACAGGGATGGCTACAGTGTGCGATGTGCAGATTTGCGCATGTGATCAGCGGGTCTGCTATGGTCTCTCTCGAACCAGCTGTGAACCAAGATCGAAATTTTTGAGGGCGGTGCTTTGGCACCCAAAGCACCCCCCCCCCCCCCTGCCTACGCCCCTGTACAGCAGCTAAGTAGTGTGGAAGGCGGAGGCGCATACATCAGGACATCCCCAAAGAAAAAACTAGAACAGCAAACCAAGGTAGAATGGCTTCACACATTTGCTCACCGTATCCGATTTGTAATGCCGGTGTCACTGCTTGTTCGATTCCACACTGAGATAATATCCTCCTGGATGCACACATGGGAAAGGATACACATCACCACAAGCATGAACCGGCTGCAGCAAAGCGAATATTGTTCACCTCCAAGAAGAATACCAACAGCGATTATTATGGCCGATACCGCCGTTCCATGAAAGGACACACAAACCCAAAAGAGATAAAAGTTGGCAATGGTTGACAGGGAACGCGCCTATCAGAGCACATGTACAGTCATACACTAGCTGCATAGAGATCCCTGCACTCACCTGATACCGAACGGAGAGGACAGCACCGCACATTTCATCACCAACCATGAACTGCTCACCAAGCATGGCCATGATCTACACACACACACACACACACGCACACACACACGCACACACGCACACACACACACACACCAATACATCAGAAAAGAAAGAAGTGACACAGTAAGTAAGACACATGAGGTAGGAGCAGTTTGAGGAGCAAGGTGTGATCCATGTGGGTACAGAACACATCCTCTTCTCAACCCTCTCATACAAATGAAGGTTTGGAGATCACTTTTGATTCGAGAAAATCACAGATTTCAATAAATTGTCAAAATTCGGAAAATTGAATCCACAAATCGAATTGTCCTCCAAAGGAGTGTAGTAAATACTATAATATATTGTAGTACATGTAATTGTAAGGTAGAGCACGTACCACATTTTCCCAGCATCTTGCAGCCAGGCCTTTTCGTAACCGGACGATCCACTTGCCGCCATGTTTATTTGCATCATCCTATGTAAAGAGATAAAGACACAGATACAAATAAAGTGAGATGACAGATGAGATCAGGCACCAAGGTTGAGAACATCAATTACTTTATAGCAGCAGAACACCAGCAGCCCTCAAACCAAATTAGAGACTAATGTGATGTAGAGCATCCCAAGAGGCAAAATTTCCTGTCCTGTGCAGTCCACATGCCTGTTGACAAACACTTCTTTTCGCACCCTATACAAACATTGGACAAAGGCAAGATCTGGCCAGACTCCACATGAGTACACCAACACCATCTACATTGTGCCCATTGCAGAAGCAATGGTAGCGTACAGGCTATGCTTAGACATAACAATAGACACACATAAATCCGTTGATCCCCGAGCTGCAGAGAGTGCTCAATGTCAGAGACAGAGCTTAGTACATAACAGTTGTCTGATGATTGCCTAGCGGCATGAAGCTCAGAGTTACAACCAACCTGAACGTCCTCCGCTGAGTCTGCTATAGACACACACACATACATACACATACACACACACCTTGACAAACAGCTGCCGTTAAACGGCTAAGCTGCCCTCATGAGGAGGGGAACAAAGGGGTAGCATCACGGCGTCGCGGCAGAACATCCGGCCTCATGCCGCTGCCACACACACACACACACACACTTACGCAGAATAGTTTCTTACCTCCCACATGGGTCTGATGCCATCCTTAAAAACATGGATATCGACATTATTGCCCAGGTCATTTGGCCGGTTCATGTAACTGTAAAGGTGCCAGAACTGCTCCACCTGAATGACAAAGAGACAGGAAAACATTACACAGGTCACTTGCATGAGTAACACGAACTAAGAGGCAGCCACACGGCCAGGAATAGGGTGGAGAGGGGGTGTCATAACAAACAAAACAGAACCGTGCACAAACGTATCTGTAAACAACAGTGCCAGCACGGTGTACCCCCCCCCCCCCCACCCCAAAGTTGGAAGACAAACAAAACAAGAATAGTTGAATACGCAGCTGTCACATAAAGATGGCATCCAATGGCGGCATACCGGAGGGGCGCCTCACTTACCGTGCAGAATGAACCGACGAGTTTGATGCTCTGCTCGTAGTTGACAGCACTGCGCTGTGCTCCCTGTGGTTTCTTGGCAAACCAGACGGAGTACGTGTACTGCAGTACATGCTCACCTGGCCCAGGTACACACTTAGCGCGTGGGTGCTCTGCTATGGTATTCTATTACACAGGAAAGAGAGAGAAAGAGAGAGAGAGAGACAGAGAGAGAGAGAGAGAGAGAGAGAGGGAGAATGATAGCACTTGTGTGTGTGTGTGTGTGTGTGTGTGTGTGTGTGTGTGTGCGCGCGCGCGCGCGCGCGTGCATACGTGTGTTCGAGCATGCAGTAAGGAGAGTTGGAAGAGGTGCATTGTCATGGACATAGAAAGTTTGGTACCCGCCAGTTAGTGTTGAGGCTGTATTGACTTGGTATGATCACCATGTTGAATTTCAAACTAATTGGCGCGATCACCATGTTGAACTGCAGCTGTGGCGAGTGAATCCAAGCTCATGAACAGAATCGTTCAGGGGCTGCATATACTGGGCCATGCAGTGAACATGCATATACTGCCCTGGCTTACTCATGCGATTGGATATAAGTTGTCACCTGTCCGTAGTCAGTACTGTAGTAACTGAGACCCAGTATAGTAAATGAACAGTGCTGTTCCAAGGCACAGACCTATTCATGAGAACAGATCCCATTGAGCAGTACTGTTGTACAAGTGCAGTCAGGGACAGAGAAACCGGATCTCCACGCGCTACATGACCGTGTGAACGAGCAAGCGGGTTAGTGAACATGCAAGTGTAACACGTATACAGTATAATTTCGTTGGTTCCAACTGTATTCATGCACTTGACGTGGCTAGCAGTTGTGCAAGCGATCGACCAATGGACCGATGGCATAATTACCGGCGTATATCATTCTTTCAGATGATACATGCAGCGCGGATTATCCACGCTGACGGTACGCAAGAAAAAACTACAACTGGGTGCAGGGTCATCATCTGCTCTATCAATTCTGTGATTTTGTGTATTCCGGTACAGCCACGTCGGATGTTGTGCACGTAACTAATGTTGGCTCCAGACCCTCCAACTAGGGAGTTCAGTTCCGGTCACAGAAAAGCGAAAAGTGCAGTCACAGCTCGCCTGTACAAAGTGAATGGGCGCCTCGTGACTGCAGTTCGAGATGCAGTTCGAGGCCCGAGTATCTTCTCCCGCGGCCTTTTCGGCCTTGTCGATGCTATTTTTAGGTAGCTGAGGTCATTACCTTTCCAATGGTGCCACACATGCCATGCTTCCAAAAATAATGCCTCCGCGCTTGGCGCGGATGCACTTCGAAGTACTAATTTCGACCAGATCCGTACTCGGCCCTGCGAGGAACACCCGATTTTCGTGTTCAGCGGCCTCGAATTAGCCTAAACCAAGAGGATTCTAGAACATTTAGGCTCGTGCTTTATCGAGGTAGAAGGAAGATGATCACAGAAACCAGCCCACGGCGATTTCCTGGTGGTAGACGAAAAAATCGAGTGAACTGCGCGCACACTGTAGAAGCAGTGACGGTGAAAACGTGTGACTTGTGCAAGCAGGCGCGCACGGCATGCGTGCACACTGCATGGCATGCACACATCCTGTATCGCCATGTATGCACCAGATAGTGCAGTGCTGGACGGAAACCACACGGCTCACATACATGCATTTACTTCTGTGACTACTTTCTACCCTGTTTTCCGATCTTCAATCGACTATAACTCTAGATTGTCTTGGAATTTTGGGTTCAAATTTTCACAGGTTATTTCTCACATCTTCCCGGTTTAGAAAACTAGCGTTTTATGCGAAACTCGCGAATTTGGTTTTTCGATTGAAGTCCCTACTCTTACTAAGCAGCTGAGGTCTCAATGTTAATGACATACCAGTAGTATGCATTATGATGACGTCACCTTATGGAAAAACTACTTGTACATGGTGGCTGCATTGTACTGTATTATTCATGATGGCACATACCTGCTGGGCTTGAGACGATGGTGTTTCTG